GGAAGTTTGTAAGGTAAGAGAAAAGGTGAGGTCAGGAATCAAGACATCGTTTCAAATTTAGAAAGATGGAATGGTAGTCCTTGGAAGATGAATGTACTTACCAGATGATCAAATGCTGAAAAGGAAAGTTTTACAGGAGGCCCACGAGTTTAGACTTACAACACACCCTGGAAGTACTAAAATGTATTGGAATTTAAAAGATTTTTATTAGTGGCCGAATATAAAGAAAGAAGTGGCTGAATATGCGGCAAAGTGTGGGATTTTCCGACAAGTAAAGTGGAACACCAAAAACTAGCTGGGTTTTTACAACCATTATTGATATCTGAGTGAAAGTGGAAAAATATCACGATGAACTTTGTATTTGGATTACTAAGAGGAAAAAATGGAAGCAATGCTATTTGGGTCATTGTGGACCGATTGACTAAATCTGTATTCTTTTTGGCAATGAAAATGATAAACTCAGTGGAGAAATTGGTAAAATTATACGTGGATGAAGTTTTAAGGTTACACAGTGTGCTGGTGTCAATAGTTTCATATTGGGATTTAAGGTTTACCTCTTTATTATAGCCAACTATTCAACAGGCTCTCGGAATGAAGTTGAATCTATGCATAGTTTTTCATCCTCAAACTAATGATCAATCTGAGAGGACTATTCAAATATTATAGGATTTACTAAGAGCCTATATATTAGAGTTTAAAGAAAATTGGGAAGATCATTTACTGTTTGTAAAATTCATTTACAACAATAGCTATCGGCTACAATAGGAATGGCTCCCTATGAAGCCTTATACGGTAGAAGATGTCGGACGCCAGTATGCTGGGAAGAAGTAAAGGATAGACAACTAATTGAACCAAAGCTGGTACAGATTATCTCTGAAAAGATAAAGATCGTAAAGAATAGAATGAAAGCAGCTCAGGATAGGCAGAAGAGTTATGCAAATAATAGGAGAAGACCCCTAGAGTTTGAAATTGGCGACAAAGTATTTTTGAAAGTCACCCTGTGGAAACAAGTGTTAAGATTTGGTTTAAAAAGGAAATTAACATCGAGGTATGTTGGGCCTTTTGAGGTCACTAAAAGGATTGGGCCTGTGGCTTACATATTGGCTTTACCTCCATATCTAGCTAAAATTCATGATGTATTTCATGTCACTCTGTTAAGAAAGGCTGGAGTGGATCCATCTTGTGTCTTGCCTCAAATTCCTCTAGAAATTGATGAGAATTTAACATTAGAAATAAAGCCGGTGAAAGTCTTAGATTGCAGTGTGAAGAAATTGAGAAATAAGAAGATTCCAATTATCAAGATATAATGGAGGAATTTTCAAATCAAGGAGGTAACTTGGGAAAGAAAATCTCAAATAAAACAGAAACACACCGAATTATTTCTAGATTTAGGTACGAGGTTCAATTTTGAGGACAAAATTTTTTTTTAGGGAAAGAGAATGTGAAAAACCACCAAATTATAATCTAAGTAAAATAAATAAAATATCAAATATATTAAATAAAAAGATTTTAAGTATTGTAATTGGATACAATAGATTTATGGTGTGAATTAAGTAAAAAAAAGAGTTGAGTGACAAAAATAAAAATGAAAAGAAATCAGGATCAATGTGTAAATAAGTAAAAGTTAGACTATAAATACTCCTTTTTTTCTTTTTTGGTCATGTGCTTGAAATAAAGAGAGGGAGGAAGAATTGTGTGATTTTTCTACTTAAATTCTCATTGATTACACTAATTAAAGTAAGTAATTAGAGTGATTAACTTAATTAAACATCAAGAGGGGGTGAATTTAATGTGGTGAGTGCATTGGAGGAAGTATTTCAAGCTAGGGTTTGAAGAAAGAGAAGAAGAAAACTTGATTTTTCTTGTATTCTTTCCTTAAATCCTTGTCAAAGTGAGGTAAATAACATGCTCAAAATGATTAATTTCTTTAATTTTATGTTTGATGAAGGATTATGCAAAATTATAATTATGTGAAGTTGTGGAATTATATTATAATTTGTAGGAATAATGCAAATTATATTTGAACCATGTTAGATAGCATGAATTATGATTGGGTAAGTGTTTAATTTCAAATAAAAAAAATAAAAAATATTTTTTCCTATTTTAATTGAATATTTGGCCAAAAGAGGAATAATTTAAGGGATTTGAGGTTTAATATAATTGTTTGGAAAATATGGGAAGATAAAGGTTTATAAGTGTTATTATATGAACGGAGTAAGAATTTTTCAAAGAAAAAAGAAAAATCTTTACTTTCTTCCCTATGTTATTTTCAGCAAAATTAGAGAATGGAGTTCTAATAATATTATTGAGGAATCTTGCCAAATTGAAGATAATTGATGTTGATATGTTAAATTAAATAGGGACTTTATGAAAAAAATAAGTAAATGTTTCAAAAGGGGGGATTTTATCCTTCTTGAATTATAAGTCAATTAAGCTTAATTAAAGGTGTTAGATTTAATCAAAGAATATGTAATGGGTATTATAATTTTACTAGTTTGAATGAATAAATAATGGTAGAGTAATTTTTATTGGTACAAAGAAAGCCGCAGGACCTAATCAACAATAAGGCATCTCTTCACATCATAAACATCAGGTAAGTGTTCGACACCTTGAAATAAGTAATTAGTTTATATTTTTTATTTGTAGAAGAAAATTTATAAATTGTAAATTCTAGTGTTGGTTACTGGAAATAATACCCTGGTGAATAGGCAAACCTTAAAGATTATTTCCTGATTACTGGAATTTATGTTTGGTTAAATGGTCATGTTAAGAAAATTAATTTATGAATTAATGAGTTAATCACTTGATATAAAAATAGATTAATTGTAAAAATTTGAAATTAAACATGCTGGTTGTGAGAGGCACTCTTAATATTTTTATTTTAATAGATTTATCCCTATATCTATAAGAGAATTTATGAAACTAGAAATTTCAAAAAGAAAATAAGACAAGTTTATCGATGATATGAAAGTCACTTTAATATATATAAATAGTTAGTCCTTAATCAATTACTTATTGAAATGTATAATTTTTTTAATCATATTTAATGAGATTATATTTTTACATACATTGCACCCTCGATCTAGAAAATGGATACTTGGATAAATAATTTTGTTATGTAATTCGAAAAACTAATATTTTATTTTAATATACTTCCATATCTAAAAATTGTAATATTCAACCTATTATCTTGTGTATGATGTAATTTATAATGTTATTATTATTAAGTTGAATTATGGTTGATTGTATATATATTTTAAGCACAAATACTTGAAAAAAAGAAGAAGAAATAAACTATGCTTGTTATGAATTTATTAGCTTTTATCATGGTGTTCTATAGAAAATAGAATTGAGATATTAAAATATGCTTGAGTTTTAAAAATGTAAATGATGGAGCGAATATTGTAATTGATATTATAAATTGAGAAATAATTGAATCGATAATATATAATATATAATATATATATATATATCATATATTTTGCGTTTACAAGTTTGAAACTATTACAAAAAATGACAATCAAGAAAAATCTTTAGATAAAAAAATTAAGCTTAAAAATCAAAATATCACTCCATATTTATTGAATTTGACCCATCCATGCTCAACATAAATTATAAAAAAATTCAATATATAATTAATTTGATTTGCTAAATTAACTTGAAGAACCAACTCGTGATTTATTAATGTGACAAACTTAGTTGAACTCTTTTTTGTAAAATAATATTTTTTTTATTCATCTTAATTAATTATGATTAATTTATTATCCTGAACAAGTTCTCGTATCAAACTATCAAGCTAGTTTTATTATTTTATATTATTTAAAAATATAATATTTAAATGATGGTTTGATATTGTATTAATTATTATTTTTAATTATTTTGTATTTAAAAAATATTAAATTAATATTTTTTAGATATTTTTAACCTATTAATATATAATCTATGAAAAGTAATTTAATATATATTTAATTAAAGAATACTTTAGAAAGTATTATATACTACATTATAAAACACACGTACAAACAAAGATGATTTTTTGTTTTTTCACTAGGGAGCACCACCACAGCCAAAAGGTATTGTATTAGTTCACCACACCAGAAACAAACCTATCATCATTCAAACCTATTAATTATCAAACAACACAGGCCCCTCTGGGCCCCACCTTGAAATAATTTCCATCCACAGATGGAAACCGACAACTAACCCTTCCCTGGGCACCCGCAAACGCCGTTATCCTTGAAACATATAGTCCCCCAGTTTCCTAACAGAAAAATATAAGAACAATTACAAATGAATCCACAACTATAGCACATTTAACAATTCAGTCCCCCAATTCCTTGAAATTAATTCCGAATTGGATCCATCTTTCAACAACTCCTATTGTTTAGTTGCTAATTGTCACCAACTATCAAGAACTATGTTAAATGCATGTACCATGCACCTTTATTAGGTAAGATTATTCTTTAAAATCAATATAGATATATGATTTTTTTAAAATTATTTAAATGAAAAATATTATAATTAAAATAATATAGTATTTATTATTTTATCTATGTATGTTTGAGTAAACCAAGCTTTGACGAATTACATATTTTGATAGTATATTTGTTTTTTATATATTCGAGTAATCATTCCATGTTGCCAAGTAAAATAAATTTTTATTTATTTATTTCCTCTAAAAAAAATCCTGTTTTGACAAAAAAAATTATTTACCCCCATTGAATAAAAAATGCATTTTCGTGAAAAGTTTAAAGATCGGGGAGCACATTGTAAATTGCAGGCTTCTTCCATAGCTGTCCAAACAGAAGTTTTTGCCTTCTCATGCTTTGCTGTTACCGTGTCCGTCAACAGGACCCCACCCAATTCCAACAAAGACCGAGTCAGGGTCAGCTCTGGTGCACCGCTCAAACCAGGCGGCCCTAGCCCAAAAAATAAAATAAAAAAATCATGTAATAATAGGGAAGGCCAGGGCGGAGTGCGAAGAAACTCTCCGTTGCCGTTTTTTCTCATCTTCTCCCCTATATAAATAGGACAGAACCCCCTCCCCTCTCCTTCACAGCCACATCTTTTCATTTCAAAAAATCCCAACCACCACGTCCTCCTCCTCCTTCCCCTTCTCTCTTCTTCCTTCCTTTCCCTTCCATTTAATAGAGGAGAAAGAAAGGAAAAGGCCAGACAGACAGACATAACAACAATAACCCTAACAGATTCTTGTAAATTTTTCTTCTCTTCTTGTCTAGTCTAGTCATTATTATTGTTGTTTGTTTAAATTTATTATGGGGACTGAGGTTTTGAGACCACAAGATTGTCTGACTGAAAGAACAAGAGTTTCTCCCTGTCGGAGGAGGAATTATTACTATGGAAATGGGAACGGGAACTTTGCAAACCCTAGCGTTTATAGCTCTAACAACAACCGCAACAATCCTAGGTTCAATAGAAAACCAACAACGGTTCGGTCTGATAGATCTGACCAGAGAAAGAAACAATCAGAGCCGTCGGTTTCAAAGAAATCACGCTCTGTTGATGATTTTGTCAAGATCTGTAAGAATAACAGCAGCAACAACAAAGGGATGGAGAAAGTGACTATTTTGCGGCGAGGAGAGTCGCTAGATTCGAAGATCAAGAGCAGCGAGACTGCGTCTGCGACTGTTTCCTCGAAGAAGGAACAAGGAAATGGTGGAGATTTGGTTGTTACTAATACGGATAGATTGGGTCCGGACCCCAAAATGGTTTCAAAACAGATGAGGAACGTGGATCTTAGGCCTCCGGTGGCTGGGAATTGTGATATTTACGCCGGATCGGCCTTTTCAGTATCTCCGCCACCGAGTTCGCTTCCCTTACCGTTGTTCTCAAAGAAGAAGCATCTGTCGGTTGATGACTCAGCCACCAGAGACCTCAGGCGTTTGCTTCGGCTCGATATTTGAGATCCGAGTAGAATCTTTCGGGTCCGGATTCGGGTTGCCCTTTTCTTTCCATGTTAATCTCTCTAGCCTCTATGTTTCGTCTTTGATACGCTTCCCTTGATTTCCGGGATCCTCCCGTCAGCTTTTTACAAAACTGGAGGCAGATCTGGAAATCAGGGAAAAATACGGGGGCGAATCAGTTAAATTTGTGGTGTTATGTAATATTGGGTTGATCCGAGGGCTGTTTTTTAAAATGGGTTGTATGGGTAAATAGGGAGTTGTCTAGGGTGGAGAAATGAAAAAAAGGAGGAAATTGGGGGGGTGGATGTTGTAATATTTGGGAGTTAGGGTTGTGAGAGAAGGAATGGGTGGAAGTCTTTGTTAGGCCACCTCCCTTCTGTGCTTTTAATGAATGGGTGGAAGTCTTTGTTAGGCCACCTAGACTTCCCTTCTGTGCTTTAACGTTATGTGAAGAGAGATCAAAATCAAGTTGAATTCGAGCAAGGAAAATATATTTTTAATAATTAATCTTTATTATTCTCTAAATAATAATATTCCACTGATAAATACTGGTTTTATTTTTCAACTTCCCAGGAATATGCATTTTTCTGATTGACATGGTTTTGTGAAGGAAGGGGAGATGATTAGCTTTAAAGAAATTTCGTTCTCAATAGGACAGATTGGAGGGATGTTCCAGGCAGTTTCCCTGAGCTTTTGGACAGGGTAATCTAGACCAGCGCCGGCTTAGAGTGCTTGCAATGATCCAAGACTGAGCAATGGCAAGAAACTTTCACTTAATAAAAATGTTCATATATTTGTACACGTCACTGAAAATGTGGTTGGTTAATTGAGTTTTATTAGATAAATATATAGTATAATTCAACTTAAAAAAAAATAGCTCGAGCTAACAGCAGCCAAGGCTGTTAGTTTTGAAAAAAAAATTATTATTTTTGTTTTTCAATGAATGTTTGACATGCTTAGAGGATGCTAAACAAAATGTAAAATATTATTTTATATTTTTATAAAAGTATTATTCTTATATATCTTACAAATATACTAAAATCTTATAGAATACTATTCATTATAATTATGTTTTTTAATTGATTTTTTATATTTTTTAATTTATTTTTTATAAAATTATTTTAATTTTATAATCAATGAGTTTAACGAGTTTATCTAAATTAATTCGAGTTATATTTTTATTTAAATATTTTTTATTATTAATTTGACTGAAAATTATTTAAATTGTCTTTAAATTTATTAAATTAATCAGATTAATAATTATGTATTAAATATATTAAATTACCATTTACTTTTCTAAATAATTTTTAACCATTAGAGTGCACATAAAAAAATAAATTAATTTTTTTTATAAAACTATACTATCAATTTAGCTTTTTTAAATAGAATCTCCAATATATATATATATATATATATATATATATGTTCTCAGGGTGCAGTCTTTCTTTTTTCCTGGCAAGACAGAAGAGAGTCGCAAGAGTGATCATGAGTGAAAGTTGAAGTGTTTTCCTAGAAATCATATGCCTCTGGGCTGGACTACATTTTCTGTGGAGGAAAGGTGATGGAGCTGTGGTCCTACATATCTGTGCTCAAGTGCTGCGTCACGTTAGCCAGAAGAGATAGAAATCTCGTCCAGTTTTGGCATTGTGGGCTTTCCACTAAACGGAGTGATGGAATCGAATTGATGAAGAAGAAAGAGATGGAAAAGCTAAGCCGAAAACCATCAAGGCTGTCAGGAATATCTGATTTCTCAAGGTGAATCCATTGTCCCATGGGTGCGCTAATTAGGGTTTTGGGAAACTTGTGTCCCTAAAATCACACGGAGGGGAAAGGAATTTGTTGCTGGAGAACATCCCTTTTGGAAAATGAAGTTTTGTGGAAATGGATTGTTTTTTATTTTTATTGTGTGGTTCAAAAATTAGTATTCTGTTTTATGTAAATTTATGCCGAGGAAGTTTTTATTTTTTAATTTTAAAAATATTTTTTAAAAAAAATTAATTTTTTTTTATTTTTTTACTTGAAATTAATATATTTTAATATTTTCATATCAAAAATAATTTTTTAAAAATAAAAAATATTATTTTAATATATTTCAAAATAAAAAACACTTATAATCTAAACTTTAACAGCCCATTAATACGTTCAGTGCTTCAAGATGGAATCCAAGGGTTAACACTATGGAATTGCAACCATGAAAGGCCTTGGCCATCTCTTGATTCTACTGGCTCTGTCGACTTGTCAACTTACAAGCTTCGAGTTGGTGACTTTGTTCATGCTTTCTTTTCCTTGATCGTGTTTGCAGTGTTGGTCCTGTTGGATAGCTACATCGTGGAGGGCTTCTATCCTTGTTTTGATCGTCCACCGAGAAGGTTTTGCTCATGGCGTTGCCTCCTGGTATTGGTGCCATCTCGTGCACCGTGTTCATGGTGTCAATAGAAAGCAGGCCTAACCGGAGCATCCTTCAATGCTAGGAAAGTGGGAAAAAGGCTATCATTTTGGGTAGTCTAAAGCTACTTCGACACAACAGTCTCGATCTTCATCATATGTAGCGACAAGAGGGTAAACAAATAGAATGTTTCGTAGTAATATCTTCATTACATATCCATCTATACATAACATATTCAATTTGTCCTGTCAGAAATTTGTGCAAATAATGCACTTTGAATTCGATAATCCATCAGTAAAATCAAATCATAGATAATTCACTACAAAAATATCAGATATTTATCTTATCCATGAAGATATTCAGGTGTTCAACTTCCAAACACCTCTAGAACACCAGGGATTTGTTATTCTTACAACTTTCTGCTTTGCTTGCTGGGGTTCTCCAATTGCAGTCGCTTGATAACCCTCTCCTGCTTTTAAGATATCAGCTTTAACTATGTGATGATCGGAAGTTCCTTTGGATGAGATCACCGAGTATGATCCTGGAACAAACTTGTATGGCGAGTAGGGTGATGCCAGCATGTAATCCACTCTTGTGCCATACTTGCATGTCCCTTGTACATCTATTTCAACAAAATTTATGACACGCAAACTTTATGATCATCTCGAAAGAGAAAAGGGAGAAAGAAGGACAAAAACTGGTTAAATTTTGGCAAAAAAAAACAAGACAAGGTTGTTCAATTACTTTGGCCTTTTGCAACGATGACTACTGGCTCGCATTCCCCTGCATAGTCTTTTGCATCTACGTATCCTTTTCCCTTCAGAAACCTTGTCACTTCGGTTCTTGGTGTTGGCTTTCCTATGTCCTCGTAGTACTGGAAAATCCACACTGGCGGGTTAGAAGATGTAGAAAACGCTAGCATTAATGTAGATTATCAAGATATTTTTTGTTGAAAATTATACCTTGACAATGTCCATCCATCTCTCGGATGAGTAATCTGATCCATCAAGAGAATTGATACCTCCTGCCAATATGTGAGGAGTCATGTCATTTGATTTTATCATTGCTCCTATCTGTTTCATTCTCCAATTTTCATCCAAGTGGTCTAATTGGGTGCAGTAAAAGTCTACTTCTCCTGCCCATGGCACATAAATTGTGGCCTTCAGCACGTTCCTGCATTAAAAAGACAAGGTTTTGCCCGTTGCGCTTTAAGTTTGAGATTCTCAAGGAAGAATGTTTGCAAATATATTTCTAGAAAATCAAGCTGATGCTTGTACAGAGCAGTAATTGATCTGTTTAAGTGATGACAATTTGTCCTAGAACATTCAGACAGATGAGCTCTTCTAACTAGCTATTCATAAGAAAAGCATACAGCTTTGAATATCTTCCATGATCAATGCCTGTCCATCAGAAATCGCAGTCATCTGCCTTTATAAAAAATGAACTTACTCGTTCCAAAAAAATTAATCTGCATGTTTAGTATAACAGCGAAAAAAGCAGTACCTGAAATCTTCATCATTGGCAATCTTCTGAACTTTCCACCTTTTGATTGGCCACTTTGACAAGATCGCATTTCCATATCCCGGTGCCCAGCTTTCTGCAAACACGTATTTCATCCCCAAGGAAGTGGCCAAATCTGATAGAGGACTCATGCCTTTCTCTTCATCTGCCTTGACATCTTGCAGGGCCAAGATATCAGAATCCACTTCTTTTAAGACTTCCATAATGCTTCTGCTGCTTTTCCAGCCTTCTTCACTTATGAACTGAGTCATATTAGCCGGCAAGCACACAGGAGACCTCATCACAACATTGCTTCTATAGTTTCTGCTGGTAACAATGTTAGAACACCCCCCACTTTCATCGTCCACAAAGCCAAGCAATTTACTATTTGCTAATGAAATCTCATTATCAGGAAGATTAATTGAAACCTTTAGTTTTGATCTTGAAACCTTCTTTTCTGCCGGGAATTGCTCTGAATTTTTCAGGCTATCATGCAAGGGAGATTGCTTGAGTATGCTCTTGGGATAATAGCTTACGGAGTTTACTTGAGTATCGAATTCCACCTGACTCTTGTATGCCGTATAGCCGTCATGTTCTTGACTGATCATGATTGATTCCTCAGCCTTGGGAACTGCAGGTGCAAGAGAGAACATGGCAACATTGAATGTGGCAATTCGAATTGGTCTATCAGAACTAGAATTACCATGCTTGCCATTTAGATGAATTGAAGATTTACGAAAGCCTGGGCGCCATTTACATCGATCTTTGGATCTTATTTTTCCAAACCTTTTGATAATAACTTTTGGCCTTGGACGCCTCCATATCAGCAACCGTATCCTTGCACAGAGCTGCCGCAACTTCCTGCCTATCAGACCCAACATGTAAGATGCTTGTTGCACAGAACCTTTTTAAAAAATTTCAAAGCAACAAGTTTCAGGCTTTTAGCACTGTGTCACAGTAGTATAATTAGATACGAGACTAATTCTGGAGCTAGAAGGGAGAGGTAGCAGGGAACACAGACTTGTTGCGTAACTAACAATGTGGTAGTGAGAAAGTAGTTGTAGAGGCAAAAAAATGATTCCTAGTCCAAGTTTCAACTGCTCCAAAGGAGTGGGGTAGTTTTTGACAAATTAGCAATGTTGTTGAGCTTCTTTTGAAACCCTCCAAAAAGCATACCAACTGCTACCATTGAAACTAAGATATAATTGGAAGCCACAAGATATAAAATAATAAGAAGCCAGACTTTCTTCAAGTCTGAACACAATAATGACACAAGTGGCTTCCGAATGGCTTTGCGTACCAGTGCAGCTGAAATTAGATTTTCTTTAGCAAGTCTGATAAAAGTTTCAATGGATTTAATCCAAATTTGTTGACTAAAGTACGAGTTAAGAGATGAAGCAATCACACATTGAGTTTTCCTCTATGCTGATTCCTTCAAGAGGATTTTGTCCACAGTGGGATATAAAGGCCCAACCACAAATGGGCAATAGTCAAGATACTGTTCGAGTTCTTTTATCGTCAAATTATACTTTTTTTTTAATAATTTTTTTATAAAATTAATATTTTTTTCGTCAAATTATACTTTTTTTTTAATAATTGTTTTTTATAAAATTAATATTTTATTATATTTTTAAATCGTTTTGATATATAAAAATATTTTTTATTAAAAAATAATTATTTTAATATATTTTAACAAAAAAAAAAATACAATTTAAAAACCAACCATCACCACCACGCTGTTAAACACCCTTTTAATCTTTATACTTTGTCAAGAAAACAATCACATCCTTCGGCATGAACGTGTGGAATCAAACTGCTGTCCCAAGTGGAAATGTTCAATGAAGGCTGGTTTTTCCAGTGACTTTCGTATGTTTTTGTTCATTTCCCTTTTCTACTTGAAAGCTTGTGCATAATGGATTCTTCGAACATCCAAGAGACGTGTAGCGGTCAAAGGAGTCTCAAACTGTGTTAGGTAATCACGAGATAATATGTTCGCATGCTGTGAGTTTATAAAATAAATATATTAAATTAAAATAAATATATTTAATAATATTATAATTATGAATTAATATTAGATAAATAATAAAAATTAAAAGTACATGAAATAAATATTTTATAATAAAAAAAAATTATATTGGTGATTAAAAATTTAGAGATTGAATAAAATGATTTATAGCAATTCAGAGTGTATTGTGAGGAAAGATGCAGTATTTTAATACACTTTTAAGTATCAATCAGTTTTCACCACATGATTTAACTTTTTTTTTTAATAAAAAGTAAAAATAATTGCAAAACTAAACTCTCCACCAACTTAATATTAAAAAAAAACCAACAAAGATAATTTTGGAAGGAAAAAAACCCATGAAGAAAAATATTGTAGTAATTGACAATGTTTTGTGATGAAAACGTGAGGAAAACTACAGTGTTTTTTCCAATAAAATCAGCAAAGATAATTTTATAAAAAATCATAAAAAACCATTTAGAGAAATATTGTATCAATTCATAGTGTTTTGTGAGAAAAACTACAACGCTTTTACCATGTGATTTAGTTTTATATAATTATAATTTTTAACTAATTCAATATTCAACCAAAGATAATTTTAGAAAAAATCATATAGAAAAATACTATAACGATTAATCATATGGAAAAACACTACAACAATTCAAAGTATTTTTTTTAAAAAATTACAGAGCTAAATTCTCAATCAGCTCAGTATTAAGAAAATAAAATCCACAAAGATAATTTTAGAAAAAAATAACTAAAAAAAATACAGAAAAAAAAGAAAAAAAACCATATTGGAAAACACTATAGCAATTCATAAAGTTTTGTAATGAAAGCTATAGTGCTTCCCCACATGATTTAGCTTTATATGTAATGACATGTAATTATAATTCTCAACCAACTCAATATTTTTAAAAATAAAAATAATAAAAATAATTTAAAAAATTCATAAGAAAAAAACCATGTTCAAAGACACTATAGCAATCCACAGTGTTTTGTGAGAAGTGTTACAGTACTTTCCACACGTGATTAAACTTCACTAAAAAATTAAATTCTAACCAGCTCAATATTAAAAAAATAAAATTGACAAAGATAATTTTGAAAAAAAAAATTACAAAACACAAAAAAAAATCATGTTGGAAACACTGAACCAATTCACAATATTTTGTAATTAAAACTACAGTGCTTCCCCGCATGATTTAACCTTATTTGTAATGACTTGTAATTGTAATTCTCAAACATCTCAATATTAAAAAAATAAAATTGATAAAGATAATTTTAAAAAAATTATAAGAAAAAAAATCATGTGAAGAGACATTGTAGTAATCCACAATGTTTTGTAAGGAAAGCTACAGTGCTTCCCTCACATGATTAAGTTTTATCACAAATTTAAATTATAATCAACTCAATATTAAAAAAAAAATTGACAAAGATAATTTTAGAAAAAAATATTACAAAAAATAAAAACACAAAAGAAACTGGAAAAAAAACCATGTGAGGAAAAACTGTATCAATCCATAGTGTTTGGTAAGGAAAAACTTATATTTACTTGTAATTGCAATTCTTAACCAACTTAATATTTTAAAAAATAAAATTGATAAAGATAACTTTAGGAAAAATACATAACAAAACAGAAAAAAACCATATAGAAAAAAACACTATAGCAATCCACAATAATTTACGAGGAAAGTTACAATGTTTTCGTCACATATTGCAACTGTAATTTATAACTAGCTTAATATTAAAAAATAAAATAAAAAAGATAATTTTGAATAAAATCATAAAAAAAAAACATGCGAAAGAAACACTGTAGCAATCAACAATATTTTAAAGAAAAAAATTACAAAACTAAAATATTAAAAAAATCAACAAATATAATTTTAAAAAATAAAATAAAAAACTATAAGAAAACACCACATAAATCGATAGTATTTTAAATAAAAAAATATAAAGTGAAATTTTTAATCAGCTCAACATTTAAAAAGTAAAATTAATAAGAATTATTTTAAAAAAAATAATAAACAATATAATATTTAAAAAGTAAAGTTGAAAAATAATTTTAAAAAATAATTAAGAAAAAAAGAAAACAAAGGAAAGTTGAAAAAACAAAAAAAACATAAAAAAAAAAAAGAAAAGCAATGTGGATTACTGTTGTAATCCATAGTGATTTTAGTGTGGAGGAATTGTGATTCCCCCGTACCATTTAAAAGTAATTTATAAGGAAAGTTACAGTGTTTTCGTCACATATTATAACTGTAATTTTTAAATAGTTTAATATTAAAAAATAAAATAAAAAAATAATTTTAGAGAAAATCATAAAAACCAAAAAGAACCACGTGGAGAAACACTGTAGCAATTAATAATGTTTTAAAAAAAAATTACAAAACTAAAATATTAAAAAAATAAAATAAAAAAATTATGTGAGAAAAGACCGCAAAAATCTACAGTATTTTAAAGAAAAAAATTACAAAACTAAAATATTAAAAAAATAAAAAAAAAAAAAAAGAAAAAGAGGGGGGAAGAACAAAAAAAAAAAAAAGGTGTTTAAAAAAAAAAAAAAACAAAAAAAACGAAAAAAAAGAAGAAAAAAGTGGAAAATTGGGGAAAAACTGAAAAAAAAAAAAACACTGTACATTACTTCTGTAATCCACAGTTATTTAGGTGTGGGGGAACAGTGATTCCCCCACACCATTTAGAGTATTGTATATAATGATGCAGAAGAGAGTATTGTATATAATGATGCAGAAGAGAGTATTGTATATAATGATGCAGAAGAGAGTATTGTATATAATGATGCAGAAGAGAGTATTGTATATAATGATGCAGAAGAGAGTATTGTATATAATGATGCAGAAGGAAGTGCAACTGGATTAAGAACACACCAAATTAGTGCCTTTTGCATTTCCAACCATACTAGACCACCATGATGAACAGGTACACTTAATAACATGTTTTAACACAGATTAAAACCTGAAAGCATGAATTGCTATGGTAACAGAGACGAAACAAGACAACAAGTCAACTTGGTCCACAACTTGAAATAAAAACGGATATATTTAATGCTGTCAGCTAATCATAGTTATTGCTCAAGCTCCAGCATTTTATTACAATAGTAACCCTCAAGGGTTTAACTTACGAACCATTTCCCCAGACAACGTATAAGATTCTTCCAAATTGGGCTATTTCCCAGCAACCCGTGCAATGTCATAACATCACCCACATTTCATACCAGTTTCATGACATCAATTTGCTCTATAAGAATGCAAGAAATAACATCTACTATTTCTTCGATCATTCCTCAGTAAACAAGGTATCCAAAGGGCTTGAAGTTGACTCTGCATTTCTGGTCTCATCAAAGAATCCTCTAGATGCATTTTCCCTCCTAGATTTCCTTTCCTGGATTATAGATTCTTCTGTTTCTGTGCAATATTTTCCCTGCTTCACAGGTCTCTCAGCTACAATAAACTTATGTCCATCTCGGCTTCTTTCAGAAAGGCCTGCCCAAACTGGAGATAACCATGAGTGAGAACTAGGACAATTGTATACAAAAGTTTGAATCTTAGCTGTCTTTTGTTTGTGAAGGGAAAATATCTATTTCTCTATGCTAATTTAGTTCTTGGTGCTATTAGGTTGTCAATACCATTCATTACATGATAACAGTAACATATGCAGCTGAAAGAAAAAAACAAAGGCATGTGGAATGAAGACGCAAAAGATATTCATCAATGATGTAATTTATATTCCAGTAAAAGTTAAATGTGAAAAAGAAATGACAGAACAGAATGTACAGGAAAAAGAGACTTCTCAAATTCTATAATTTGGAATGGATGGGTTCAACATATGACATGAAACTTTTGACACAAATTACTTGCTAGATTATGGTCATTTTATGGTTCGTTGGTTTATCTTCTTGGAGTGTTCCTTAACATACAAGACCTAAGAGATATTAAAGAAATCTTTATCAGAAGCAACTACCATGAGGTAAGCCTACAGAACATTTTCAAGAGTACATTTTACTTCAAGTGAGGAATTTCTTAACCATCAATAACGGTGATGAAGGCATTTAAATAATCACTTCTGCCTTCATCGACTATCTGAATCCCTACACAAAGATTATTCTCAAACGAAGGGAGCACTACGCTCCAGAATGTTCAAATTGCAATTACAGTATTCTAACATCTAAGCAATTTTTACTTGTTAAAGGAGACTAAAATCTTGCAAGAAATAAAAGGGAAAGAAATGTTGTGCATTGATTTCTTCCAAGAGAGCCAGAAAACATTCAAAAAGAAAAAGAAAAATAAAGCACGAAGAGAGTAGCAAAATGTCATAAATTTACACTACACAAAAAACCAGAGTCATCAAGCAGGCCTAAAACCTAAAAAAACAATCCAGGTGCAAGCATCAATTTCATGCATACCTCCAAAATGATGCAGAACAATAGAAGCTGCAACAGTAACATTTAATGAAGCCGTACCACACCCATACTGTGGAATATAAACAAAAAAATCGCATATCTCACACTCCTTTGTCGAAAGCCCAGTTCCCTGCAACCAAGCCCTATTCAGAAATCCAGAACCACACCATCCATTTCCATAAAAAGCAGGCAACTTTTCCATAGAAACAAAGAACAAAAAAAGACCCACAATCATGAATTCAATGATTACCTCGTTACCAAGTAAGAAAGCAGTACTTCTCTTAAAAGGGTGTTCATTAACAGGAAAAGCAGAATCCGTAATCTCCACGCCGCAAATATCACAATCTTTCTCCTAATTAAACAACATAAAACCCTAAAAATCAGATATTCGTGATAAAAATCTGGAAAAAGAAACAAGATTTGGACGAGAGAGATACTATGAGAAAGTTGCGGGCATCAGAGAGAGAGTGGAAGTGGCGAAAAGGGAGGTGAGAAGTAGAGCCATGGCTGCCAAAAGAATTGAAGTCTCTGCGGCCAACAAGTATAAGCTCTTTGACGCCAAATGCAGTAGCACTTCTTGCTAGTGTACCCACGTTGTGTCTCTTTGCTATGTTGTGTACCACTACATAGCTTTCTCTTACCATTTCTCCTCCTCCTCTCTGCTTCTCAATTTCGTGAAGGTTTTTAGGGCTGTGCAATTTTTGCCGGTGCTTGAAACGACAACGTTTGCAACATTACTATTTCATTTCTTTTACCGAGTGATATTCATTTATAAAGTTAAGACAAGGGCCCGGCCTGAATTGATTAACGTGGGTATTTAAATTAGTTTATATATTTTAATTAATTTTATAAATTTTTAAAATTAATAATTATATAAATTTTTAATAATTTTAAGATGAGGTGACTTTTACATTGATTAAGTTAACAAAATTAAATAATTTAATACTTGATTTAGTTAATTTGAATAGTTTTAATGTTTTTTTTAATTAAAATTGAAGTTCAACATGGTGACCCAATTAAATTAATTACAAGATTTTTTTCTAAAATAATATCAAATTAAAAAACAATTCTTCAAAGCTATATTATAAGCATAGTATAAAGAAAAATATGTATAAAGATAAACTAGACATTATCTTTATTTTATAATGTTTGGATAAATTTATATTTATTTCATCAAACCAAGTATAAATCAATCTAATTCTCGTAATTTCATCTCATTAATTTATGATACCGTCCTTTCTCTTCCATCTTCCACAACAATTAAACTCAACATAGATTATATTTGATAGTGTGATCTTAGGTGAGAGATAATTGAGACTGTGTTTTGCTTTAATTGAAATTTTAAAAATATTTAATTAATTAATACATACCATAAATTTATATAAATCTCATTAAAAAAAACCCTCCTTTTAAATCTATTTTTTCAAACAATAAATGCAACTGTAAAAATTATTACAACAACAATAATGAAGTGATGGACTACACTAGTGATGATGAACAAAAGAAGCGCAACCAGAAGGTAGCCGTGAAGCAGGCCCATTACTGTCCCGTTGGATTGCCTCTCTGTCTCACTCCGGCTGTCGGAGCACCTCCACTGGCAGCAACTCTTTGCCTCAAAACTCAATTCCCTTTACTCCAGCTGAAATAGCGACTCTATTACTCGTCCATCATTGAGTATTTCAACATTGGCAAATGGATAATTCCTATCTTCCAGACTGCCAACTGACAGAAAAGCCGTCAGCAGACGCAACACGAAGGACATGCAGAAGCCATTTTTCACCTTTATGAAGGACGAACAAAGGTCGCCATTCCCATCAACTTCTTTGGTTTTTCAAGTTAAACATCCCTGGGAAGGTGAAACAATTTCACCCCACGGCATTTGTCTCGCAACTGTTGCAGGACTTCTATCCACACAGAGGACAAAGCAATTTAGTCTTTTTTTTAGCATTTCATTTCCAGCTCTTCTTAAGTAATATTCAGATTTTGACATGAAACTTTTTATTATTTAATTTTATATTGTCGAGTATAATATTTAAGTTAGATTGTTGGATTGAGCTATACACGAGTTTTTATATATATTATTTTATATTAGATTAAAATGTTAAGTAAATGAAAATTTTTTAAATAATTAATTTATATGATCGAAATTACTAGATAAATCTTATCAATTCTGATTGTTTACATCTTTATATATCATTTGAATTATATCTAGAGTTATAAAAATAATTCTAAAAAGTAGATATTTATATATTTCTGATTATATATAATAAGTCTAATAATTTATATGGATAAGAGAGAACAACAAGGTTAAATTTAAAATTGAATTTGTTGAAGAGATATTTATGATATCACCCATGATTGTTAAAAATATAAGTTAATTTGTAAAATTATATAATTTTATAAATTAATTTATATATAATATTTAAAATCAGGTTAAAAACTTGAAAATTATTAAACTCGGTTAACTCGGACGAGTTGACGAGTTTGACAAAAGTTAAGAAATTAATCAACTCCCCTCCTCGTCCATCACTCACTCCCCAGTCCGTTTCTCCCCTTCTCCCCTTTGCCTTTTCTCTCAAGTTCTCAAATCTCAACACTAATTGTGGATGGTTCCACAACTTTCACAGACACTCTCTCTCTCTCTTAAGACACTCTTTTCTTTTCTTTACTTCATTTGCCTTTGTTCTTCCTCGGGTCTCTACTCACCATCTTTTATGCTCTCATGTCTCGCCTCTCTGTATCAGGTTAGTTTTATTTCTTGGCATACTTGTAACTTAATTCTTGAAGACTTATTTATGGAGAAGGGTTTGTTATAAATTACCTAATTACTACCATTGTTCTTTCTGAATTTAGTTTTTTGTCATTGCTTTTCATTTGCTTAGTTTTATTTTATTTTTTTAATTTTAATGCTGCGTTCTCTAAAGTTGTCTTGTTGTCATTTAGTTTCCTTCCATTGTTTGAACTATTGTAGGCGAGGAGAGCTCGATGGTCTAGAAATGGAGCTGTTTATGTGTTAATGTGTTGGATTTTCATCAAAGCATGTCATGTTCTTGTCATATTATTTCCTTTCAAGCAAAGTCAGCTTAATGGTTATTATGAGCAATTGGAAGTTGGAACAATAGCTCTTAGTTGTAACTTTTATGTTACACAAACACTTAGAAATAAAGTTTTGCTTTTATCTTTTATTTACCTATTCGAGAGGGAACTTTTTCTATTGCAGAAATAAATAAAGTAATGATATATTGTTAACTCTTTAATTTTGCGTTATTTTTTCCCCCTTTAATGATTAAGTTGTATGATTTGTGTTGTTGTTTTTTTCCACCCTTTTGATGATTAAATTATATGATTATGTTTGGATTATAGAACTAAAAAAAGGAATAACATGTTTGAAATGGTGCTATATAAAGGATATGTATTGCGTCGAATGGTTATGAATGTAAATATACGTTTGATTTATTCCTTATTTAGATATTAGTTGCTTCTATAGTGGTTTTACAAATATCAGATCATAAGCTGTATTTATTTCTTATTTAGATATTAGTTAAAACTCTAGGAATGGAACATGTAACATTCATCTTGAGATTACAAATATTCTGATTTGTAGAAATAAAATATTTTGGAAATAAAAGCATATAAATCACAACTACACAAGGTAGAAACAAATCAAGTTAAACTCGAAATAAGATTCTCCATCATAGATATCATGTTTTTAGTTGCATGTATCCTTCTATATCATTCCACTTTATTTAGAATAATATCTCAATGATTCAGTCATTTAAGAATTTCAAGGATTCATGTTAATATAATTAATAATTAGAGTAACTAGCATTTATCTACAATTCTTCAAGAGATGACAGATTCGATAGAGAGCAGGAAATGGGTTATAGATATTGCTAAGTAGAAAACACCTAAGTTAGAGGCCTTCAACACTACATTTGCCAACACAATCAAAATGAATCTAACCACTATCCCATTACGATTCTAATCATTTTGTTTAGCCAGAGCTATACATACATTTCATCAATCCTTTCTAGTTCCTGTCATTTCTATTTGAATTTCAACTCCCTTGTATTCATTATCTGCTTTTTTAGCATCTTGAATTCTTTGGGTAAGTTTATTTTCTATGATTGTCAATATATAATTAGTTTAAGTATTTTACTTACAATTTTACAATTTTACAATCTAAGTTTATTTTGTGTTGTGTTAAAAAAATATTTTTGACAATCTTAATAACAACTATTATCCATAGTTTGCAAGATCTTCTTTTCCATTATGAATTGTATGTGGTGGCGAAGAGGCTTGAGATTCTTTCGTAATTTTTTTCCTTATTTTTCAGGATTTTCTTATTTAAAAGAAATATTATGAGAGGCTATTTAAAGGAGATATTTATGTTACTTTCCTTTCTATTTTTTAGAGTACACTTTCAGTTAAACAAGAAAAGAAACTTCAACATTCAAGACAATATTTTTTAAGCATGGAAAGAGAGAGGCTATTTAAAAGAGATATTTATGTTACTTTCCTTCCTATTTTATAGAGTATACTTTCAATTCAAGAAGGAAAGGAACTTCAACATTTAAGAGAATATTTTTCAAGCATGGAAAGAGACTTAATGGACAACACAAAGGGATACTCTTTTATCTACATGTTTCATAATCAGCTACAAGAGATCCAATACAAGGAGATATGGTTTTGGTGTTGTTTTGACAACTTGTATAATCTGAATATTTTATAAGGTTTATTTATTATTTTAATTAATATTTGAGATAATTATATTTCAATTTTAGAGTTTTTTATTCCTGTTAAGTTTGTTTTGGTCCAAAATCAATATTTAAACTTATTTTAGGTATTACATTCATGTTTAACTAAGTTTTTAGTTAAAATCTATTGGCTTGCAGTCCAATATGAGACTATTAAAATTATTGTATTATGATTATATTATGTTTTGTTTTATTAAAAGTTTAGGCAGTTTTAAAAATTAAAAAGATTTAATTTTTCTTGAGAAAACTTTTTTTTTTTTTTTAGACACTTGGCAAGGTATTATTTACCTTATAGCATTTACAATCATTCAATAACTCTAATTCTTAATTACAAGTTAACTCTAGGTCAAAGTTTTTGATAAAACCTGCGTATTCAACTTTCTTGAAGAAATTATCATGTTTATTGTGAGTTGCGTTACCACTTAATAACGAGTTTCACTTCATTTTCTTTATGTTGCAAGAGATTTAAGGGGAAGAACGCAAAATATGGGGAAAGCAATACTGAAGCATAAACATTGCACTGTATGCCAATTTGAATGTCTCAAACTCTTTCAGTAGGTGTGACTCGGATGCATTATTCAACTCAAATGAGTCCCGCAATTGTTGCTCAAAACACTCAGCTCAGCTCCATAACAAATTATGAGCGAGCATATCGTACAGGAATACGCTGCTGTATAGGACCTCTACACGAGGGGCAGTCCTTCATCCCTTGTTTCTCATGGAGCTCGTTGCATGTTGTGCAAACCACCTGATGAGCACATGGGAGAAATACTACAGCCATCTCTTCAGAGAGGCACATCACACATTCCCTTTCTCGTTTCACACCTCCTGTCTCAGAGTGGTCATGGAAATCGTTGGCCACTTCTGAGATCCATGGAGTCCTTGACTCCTTTTGAGCAGGATTACTTTTTATATCTGCAAGTCTGCTAGCATAGCTTCCATCAATGCCCCGACGAAGTGCTGCAATTTTTGAAGAATCAGTCTTCAGTCTCAATTGGGAGATTTCTTTTTCAAGCTTCTGAATTTCATCCTTGTACTTCTGTAAATTGGTTTCTGCTTTCAATTTGATCATGCCCTCCTTGGATTTAGCTGAAGCCTCGATATTTTCTATTTCTTTTCTTAATGAACTGGCCTGAATAAGCAGTTCTTCCTTTGCCTTCTCTTCCTGTCGCCATCTAGCCTGTGATATTTTTCACTTTCAATGAGAAAGGGCCTAGTAATAAAGCATGCACGAATAGAATGTGATGTGTCGAACCAATTTGCCAAGCACACTATATACTTTCCAAAAATTACATATTAAAACTCCACCATCGAATACAGATGTTTAAACATTACACCATGAAGCTTCTGGGAATTATGCTTCAGGGGTAAGATGGTCAGGCAAGGACAAACAAAAATGCTCCCTAAAACAGAGACAAACAAAGGATAACGAAATGACAAATAAATAAGACCTCAGTTTAAAGAAAGGGTTTGCAAACCAATTTGAACGTAAGAACATCTAGAGGAGAATCCCGCGGGACAGTGCTGCCAGAAATAGAAGGATGAGAGACAAAGAAATACAGTTGGAAAGAATCTGTAAACAAAATTTTGATCACTATACACGGTAACCCTGACATTTTTTGGTTAACAAAAATCAACAGGAAGTCTACAAAGGATCAATATATGAAGTCCATCTTAACATATATTTATAGCTCTAGTGCCAATGCATGCAGATGCCAGCAGAGAAGTGTCGTTTCATTCTGTTAGCAGCAGTAGCATATATTCTAGCATAAATCATTACCTCTACATGTGCGCTTACCACATCAACTAGCCTTCTAATAGAAGTAGCCTGATAGTGTATGTCGTACACATGTCAATGAACACAACTGCATGTAACACATCACGCATGCGCATGAAAATGCAGTAAAGATTCTCAGACCAGGTATCAACCTAATTGAGCACTGTTCACCATTCCATCCATAATTCTTTTTTCTGAGCAGTGAAACAACCTATATCTCAACCAGCTAAGCTATGAACCGCATGGTAAGTTAGAATGTTTTGAAATGGTCAAAAAGTTGGCAATGAGAAACCTGTCACTGGCTGCACCACTCAATGATTGATCAAACCCCCCCATGCTACGTAAAATTCAAATGATTAGCAGACGATTGTTACAATATATCCAGCGTGTAGCCTCTGAGAAAAGATGGAGGAAAAGGAAATTGGAGCCAAATTCTCAGAAGCATACCTCATACTGTTCCTGTATTTGTCTAGCCTGCTCAAGATCCTGTAGTAGCTCTAAAACCTTGTGTCTTTCGGTTGCAAACTCTTCCTGGAGCAGAGCTCTTTGCTTTTCCCATGACTGAAACTTCATTAGTGTTTTCTTCTCCCTCTTTGATACTTCCTGACAGCTTGCAGCTGACTCAACTGCACGTAACTTTGCGGCCTCCATTTCTTGCCTCAAAGCAGCATTCTCCACCTCGAGCCTCTGGACAGCAGAATTGGCTATCTCCACCTGCCCGCTTGCCTTGCACAAAGCATTTTCCATTTCAGTAAGCTTCTTCATGGTGCTTTCCTCCAGAGTTTGCTTCTCTTTCTTATGCCTTTCAACCTCTTCCTTCTCTTGTCTTAGTGACTTAAGTTCAGCCTTGTCCTTACCCAGCCTTCGAGCAGCCTGCATAACCTTTTGATTTGCCCATTCTGTCCATTCTTGGAGCTGATTTTGTAGTTCCCGTGCCCTTGGAATAAGCTTCATAATCATCTCATCCTTCTTGTCACGGGGGACCCACTGTGTTAGAGACTTGTCATACAATATCCCAGCATAACTAGACATAGGTGCCTCAGCACTGCAGCTAGTAGGCACTGAAGTTGAGTTGCTTTTTGCAGGCAGTGAAAGAGAGAGCTCGGTATCAGCTGCTGATGATGCAGGTGGGGTGTTGACTGTAGGTAGAACTGGAAGGACACTTACTGGGGGTAATGCGGATGAGATATCAGTCTTAGGGATTGAAGAGCTTGTACTAGAAGATACTGAATTAAATGTTACATGGGAAGAGGGATTGCTAGGAAGATTCAGGTTCCTGTTATCTTGAGGCACATCAACTCCCATTGCCTTGCTTAATCTTAATGAAGCATTCTTTATGTTAACAGAAGTAGAGTCTGAAACAGATTTCAATTTTTTATCCAAGATTAAACCACCCAAGCCGCTTAGTTTCCCTGCTCTCGAAGCTTTAGACCCATACGTCCGATAGCTCTTCTCCAAATGAACTGACTTCTGTCGAAGTATGTATTCTCTCTTATTAACAACAGAATGGACCTTCCTACTGACGATAAACTTTTCTTCCAGTATAGTAGATTGAGATTGAGATTGAGATGATCCTGCAATGTTGGAGGATTTATCATCGACTGTCGAATTTGATCCCTCTTTATCTGATACCGGTCCATTGAGAACAGCACAGTTCTTGGGTTTTGTATTTTTGGGAACTCCTGTCACATTGGTGCTTGTCTCTGATTGAGAACAAGGATTTGGAAGGTTTAGTTCAGAACATTTGGCTTCTGGTTTCAACTGGGGCTGAGCAGAAAGAGATGCGATCCCATTTGAAGCACCATCAGTAGCAAAGCTGCTCAAGGGATCACCATCCATTGCACAAGCATGAGAAACATTCATGTCACAAATCAACAAGCACCACATTGCATCTCCAGTGCTGAAGAAAGGCCTGACTTCCTGAAGTACACAAACCAATTCTGCCAATACATACCTCCCCAGCTGTTGTAAATCCTCAAAACAGTGCTCTCTTGAAGGTTCAATATCATGACCATTCCTAAGAAGCGCTAAAGTATGATCCACTATATTTGACACAGTGTATTTACACCCATAATAGAGACCAGACCTCAAAATAGCCTTCGTAGCCTCTTCCTCAGTATAACCACAAGCAACAATTTTCTTAATTGCACCCTTAAATATTGCATCCAAATTGCTCAAAACAAGTTCTTCTAGCTGAGATTCTGTAAGATCACTCCAATCAGCATCATGGGATTCCTCTGACTCTACTTTCCCTCTAGGCTGGCTTGGCCCAACCTCAGATGAACCTAAGGCACTAGACAATCCAAGGTCAAGTTTTAACCCATCAGAATGGTATTGGTTCACACCACACAAGTCACAGGCACTGGACTGCCCATGACCTGGGGCGGCTTCAAATTTCTCAGCAGAGAATTCATAACCTGGAAACTCATTCTGAGCTGAAGACATAATCTTACTCGGGTCACCCAAAGGTGGATCCGCACGGAACTTCCTCTTATTCCTGCTTCCCTTTTCTTGGATAGACGCCATTGGCAAAACTTGAATGGGACAACTACTACTACTTGCTTTAGCAACCATTGACGCCATTTTAATCTGTAAATAAACAAAACCAATATCTTTATATCACTCAAACCTTATCGATCATCTATCCATCAACCGGTGATGCACCCCCCCATTTAATGTATCAAAATTCAAATAATCATTAAAAAAAAAGCAGCTAAATCAAGAATCAATACAAATCAAGCAATCAAAAAATCATTTCTTCACCATTTTATCTCACTGCCAAACAATAACCCAAGTCAAGAATCGCAAAATCAATCAATAAAAAAGAATTCCCAGAAACAAAAACGAAGAAGAAGAAGAAGAAATAATCAATAACCAATGAATTAAAAATAATCCCAGTTGACAAAAACATGATATCTCAACACGAACCATATAAATTTGAGCAGGAAATGGAACAAAACAGCTTAAAATTAAGGAGATTTATCGATTGAGGCAAACACAAATGATATAAATAGATAGATAGATAAAACATCTATAAAAGAAATAAAGATTTGAGACAAGAATGGAATGATCGAGGCGTACCAGAAATGTGAGCTAACATAAAAATCAAAAGGGTATAAAAAATTGGAGACCAATCTCAAAACATCACAGAAATGGCAGAAATATATGTAGTTATTTCTCCTCCCTGTTTTTTTTAGTTTTTCATAATTGTATTTGTTGCAAATTTATGTAGTCCTAGAGTTTCTTTTTTCTTTCTTTTTTGGCCTTTTTTTCTATGACTGATTTTAACCATACCAACTAACCATGGTTAGCTGCATATAATTAGAGTGTTTTTGTATAGATTTTAATGAGCATTATTAAATTCAACTTGGTACAGCAGGTCGGGACTTGACTAAAGTTAGATTAAAAAATTAGATGAAAAATAATATTTTTAAATTTAAAAAGAGTAACAATTTAATTAAAATATAATTAAACTTGAAAAAATTAAAATAATTTTATTTAATTTTTATTTTTTGAAGTGAAATAACATTATCATGATTGATTTGTGTTAATTAATTAACATGACTTGAATCATAATTTTTTTTAATAAATTTGGTTTTGATATATATGAACTAATACTATAATCTTTTGATAAATAATAAAATAAAAAATAATAAAATTACCCTATATGAGTTTAAGTTTCATCATTATAATATAATATATATTCAATTGATACAATTTTTATTTATTTAAATGCAACATAAATATGATAAGATTATACTAAATACTTGTTGGTGAAGACAACATAAATTAAGTAGTTATTATAAATATATAATATTTCTTTTAGAGTGTGGTTGGCCTCGCTTTAAATCTATTTTTATTAAAAAAAATAATTACACGTGGTTAAGTTAAAATTTACTCAATCTCTTAATTTAACAAGGGCACCTACCCCTTCTTAAAATAAATAAATAAATAAAAATCCAAACATGGCACCTACTCACAAATTGGTGTCTTTTCATCTCTTTTTTATTTTATTTATTATCCTTCCAAATATTCATGCAAAGGAAAAGAAAAGGGAAATGTCCTGTCAAAACGAAAATGTATTTTTAACTATCGAGAAAAAATAAAAAATTTAGGAGATTGAATGCATTTCATTCTTCTTTCTAGTTGCTGGTAGCAATTCCACCCACGCATCAAGTTTGTTGATAACTTAATGGAGTCGCACAAAGAAACACCATCTCCTTTTTATTTGATTGTGATGTATGTTAAATCATAGTCACCAAGCACGATTTGGTTAAGGGGATTGATCCAAAAAAATTAAGGATTTTGTTTTATTAATATAAATATTTAAATAATTTATATATATTTTAATTAATTTTATGAGTTTTAAAATTAATAATTATATAAATTTTTAATAACTTTAAAAAAATTCAAATTTATAATCATTAAAAAATAAATTTAAAACCTGATGAATTGAGTTACGCTTGTAACTTGTTATTTTATTTAGATTGATTTTATAATTAAATAAAATAAAATATTATCTGGGTTAATTTTTAGAAATTTAGTTAATTTAATAAAGATTAATAGGTCAATATATTAAAAAATAATAATAATAAAAAATATAATTAATTTATTTTAAATAATTTTTTTATTTATGAATTAACCTAGTAATCAGACAATTTGCACCGAATATTTGGTTGCATCATTATTATTTTTTTCATTATGCTTACTGGTATGCATTTAATAAAAATTTTGATGTATGTTTGATAATGTAGTGTATCATATTTTTGATGTATGTTTGATAATGTAGTGTACCATATTTTTTAAAAATGATTTTTAATTAAAAAAATAAATAAAATGATGTTTTTATTTTAATTTTTTTAAATTAACATATTAAAAACTTAAAAAACACTTAAAAACACTTTAATATAATATTTTTAAGATAAAAAATAATTTAAAAAGTATTTTGAAAGTAGTTAAAGCTACTACAATGTTAAACAAATATTTAATTTGGAATTTAGTTTTCAAACTGTGATTTGCATCTAAGATCATGGTTTTAAAAAAATACATCAAATGATACACTTTCCAAAATCAAGTTCATAAAACTACTAAATGGATAATGAAATAACCATAAACTTATTCTTCTTTATTTATTTGGCCATGACAACCAAAAGGCACAGAGTGTCCTAATTCATATAGTTGGAGAAGCCGAGAAAGCACTTATTAATCTTTAATCTTGGTTACCTAGGAATATTTTTTACCCAATGCAAACATGTTTTTAATAAAACTTAATGTAATGATTTAGTAAAAATAATTAGATAATCATAATTGTTAAATCTATTCCGGTCTAACAAGTCGATGTGGAAATAGAGATTTATAATGTGATCCAATTCAGATTTTTAATTAAATTGAATAAAATATTAATTTGATAAAACTCTTTCGATTTAACTAAGTTTTTGATAATTTAATTAACTTAAATAAACCAGATCTGCCTTGCTTATAAAAAAAAAACACTATTATTTTAATAAAAATAATTAATCTAGTTACCAAGTCTTTTATCTAGGTCAGCTTTTGTGTTAATCTAAGAAATTATATTATTTTAATCTAAATATGGGTCAAATTCAAAGTTTGATAAATACAAAATCTACACCCTTGACTCATAATTTAATTTAAATATAGCTAAAAGTATTTAGTTTCCTGCCTATTTTTAGAGAAACAACAACCCCAAGGATTTATAGCCGAAGGAGGCAATTTTTTTATAAAAAAATTAGAAAACAAGATGATGCACGTGAAATCTTCCTTCCACATTTGAGAACATGATACACATTCCAACTATTTTTCCATTTTTTTTTCTTTTTTGCAATCATTTTAGTTGAATTTGATAGTCGGAAGCATCGAAAAGCAAGTGAAAAATACATGGGAGTGTGACTTGGAAAATGAGACTGACGGATGAGATTTCGAACCCCTCCTTACACCTTTCTATGGTAGGTGGGAGTCTATGTTCAACATTTTTAATGGACTCTTAACCTCGCTTTTGAAACCCGGCTTGATTGATTAATCTGGGACTGAATTTTTTAAGTCAGAAACCTAGATGATTTGATTAAAAATTCGGTTAGAACATGTTAATTATTTATGATTTTAACTAAAATAATTTCATTTTAATTTATAAAAAAATTAGGGTCGACTTGGATCTGGAACCGGGTTTACTACCACACCGAGTTTAAAAACTTTGGTTTTTAAATATAGTTATGAAATTTGAATCTGCATGGTGGATTCACTTGACATTTTTTTATCTAATTAAAAATTAATTTGATAATATGGTTAATTCGGGTCAAATCTAGTAAAAAACCTGACTCTTAAACCATATTTATATAACTTTTTTTTAAAAAAAGAAATTGACAAACATATTGTTCTGGTTTTTATTTTTTTTATTTTTTATTTAATCCGGACAGTTTCTTCTAGTATGTGATTTAAATATTGCTCTTATTACATCTAGGGTTGGATTTTACATCTATGCTTTTAGGCCATGGATTTGTTTTTGTTGGAAAAGAAAATTGTAATGCTATTATTAGTCACTGTAACAATCATTATAGGAATTAAAATTATGTAATTATACATTAAATTTGATATGGAATTATAAGGATAACTTATCACCTCCGTTAATTTTTTTTTCTTTTTTTGGGGTTTTACCCGGATATTTTTATATTTTTAAGGCTTATAGCTGTACCTTCTAATAAATATATATACTTTTTGTAAATTAAATTTATATTTTTATCCTTACATGAATATAAAGGGTGTTGGTTTTCTCTTCGATTTGTAAATTTAATATTAAATTTTATCTTTTACAATACTTATTTCGGACACCAAGTATAATATTATCTTTTTTTTTAATAACAAAACTTAATTTAAATATTAAAATTTAGTCACTTATTATTTTTAAATGGCTTACCCCAACAAATTTAGGCATTGAGGATAACCGACCGACCCCGCAATGGCTGAGCTACCAAGCATACACATCTCCATTCCACCACCTCGTCAGCAACCGCTTCACCAGAGCGATGCAGATGAGGATGATGACAACGTTAAGCAACTCAAACAATGCTCCTCTCTCTACCTATCCCTACAGGTATTATGTCCCACTACATCAAGAAAAAAGGAAAGGCTCTAAAACCCCATACCCAGCAAGGGTATTTATCAGTCACTGATCTGGATTAACCTTTTTTTTTTTTTTTTCCTTTTGCTTATAATTTTCGGGATTGCCTTGTTAATTCCAATAGAAACTGGAAATCTTGCCAAAAGGGTATATGCTAAACTTTATTTGTTGTCCGGGTTTGCATCGTTGCTCATGAACAAGGGCTGACAGTCGTCCTGCTTGTTAAAATGCTTCACAGAAATTCAAGCTTTGAAGGCATGCAATGATAGGATGAAGAATGACAAGGGGAAGTGAAGATTCGGCACTCACAAGCTCCAAAACCGTGATTAACTCTCGGCTCACAATAAACTCTCCATTGAATTCAGCATTCATAACTCTCCGATTGGCAAGTTTTGTAATACAATGGATTGCTGTAAACATTTGAGCTATTCAAGAATTTCGGAATGTTCTCGTATCGGGATTCTATCCAAAAGAAATATAGCATTTGCTTCTCTTGGTTCACAGTGGTATCGTGCAGTACTTTATTGTTTCCAATAAATAGGCAAGCAAGAGATGAGAAAATACTTGTGTTGTACAGCAGAAATAAATAGGCACTGGGAATTACTTGTTAATTATTTGGACTCAATACTTTATCAGCTTGTAGGCTTGCAAAATAAGAGAAGAAATTGATAGAAGAAAAAACAGTTATTCTAATTAGCAAGTGTGTTTCTAGGATTGACTCTCTGCTGTTTCCTTTTTTATGTCACCAGTTAACATCTTAATTGGCTCTTAAAGTCCTTTTTGCTTCAAGACGATAGATGCAGATGCTCCTTGGCAATCAACGAAATGCCTGCCCTTTCTTCTCTATTGAAGATGGCCATGGTGGACAATCTTCATGTTCATTTCGGTATGTTTGTCCAATCCTAGCCCCACATACGCAATTGAGAGTCATTGTTTTTCTTAAAATCTCTCTCTCTATCTCTATCTCTCTCTCTGAGAAATCATAAATAATCTGAGACATTTTGGTGACTGTCAAAAATTGCTCTGAGTCTTTAGAAACCATGATTTCTGAGACGGACATAACCATTTGTAGAATAAAAACCCTTAGCTTGGAAGGGATGCGTAGACAATTCCATCTCATTGCCCGAATGCCCAGGAAAAAGTAGATTATTTTGATGGAAAAAATGGAGATCCTTTTAAAAAGCTGTATCTTGAAATTTATTCACCTAGTTCCTATGCCACATTATGTACTTTTACACAACACCACCTCAGAAAAAGGGCTAAACAAGGGTGACAATAGATAAAAGAAATGGAGGCATGGGCTGGGATTGATATTTCTCATATTTCACATATTATTTTGTGCTTAGACTGGTTTTGGTGGCAGGCATAGGGGCTGGGTTTACAATGGATAATAAAAGCCTTTATTAATTAACTCAGAGAGGAGATCACTGAGAAGAAACAAACTTGATAGAGATGCTGTTGACACAATGGCGTTCGTCTGTTGGAGTCTTGTGACCCTCGCCCTTGAATACATGACCCAGATGCCCCCCACAAGCTGCGCATGTGATCTCAGTTCTCCTCCCATCTGGGTCCGGCTGAAAGTCAAAAGAAAAAGAAGAAGAAGAAGAACTTACAGATCGATTTATCGCAGCAGGAAGACCTTCATAGAAAGCAGGCCGAAGAAGAAGAAGAACTTACAGATCGATTTATCGCAGCAGGTAGACCTTCATAGAAAGCAGGCCAGCCACAGCCAGAGTTGAATTTGGTGGTGGATTTGTAAAGAGGTGTCCCACAACCAGCACAATTGTAAACTCCTTGCTCAAAAAACTTATCATATTCTCCACTGAATTTCGGCCTGCATGTTTGTGTTTATATTTATAGATCATCAGATCAAAATCACTTGAAGGTAATATGATGAGAGGAGAAGGGGGGAGAGGATCCATGACTCACTCTGTTCGCTTGCCACGAAGGATGTGAAACTGCTCGGGGGAGAGAACAGCCCTCCATTCTTCCTCGGTTTTCTGCACCGAACCGCCTCCCGCCATCACTGTTTTTTTTTTCTCTTCTTATAATGGAGCTAATACAGAAAAATATGCTGTTATGACTGTATATATCCTATCCTAGCTTGTATCAAAGTAGTATTTTAATAAAATAATCAAAAGTAAATATTTTTAATTATTTCTTAATGAAACTTAAAAACAAGAATCAAGAATATATATATCTATCTATATATATATATATATATATATATATATTTGCTTGGAGCAGCTAGCAGTGGGTGGATGGTCATGGTCATGGAATGTACAAAGACTGGATATAGAACCAGATTCATTTTTATTGTCAAGCCTTTCGTTCCATCCCTGTACTCGTCACGGGCTTGGGTCCATACAATTTTGCTCTCAGCTACTCTCGTCCTCCTGCAACTCGTCACGGGCTTGGGTCACTATGCTATTTTTATTTTTATACTTTTTATTTTTTATTTTTTTTATTCTATTTTCGGGCTAGGTTCAGCTCAACCTATTTGGGCTGGGCTGGACCCAGCCAGCTACACTGTGCAAGTGAATTAAAATTCACTTGCATAGTGTAAATGCTAATTAGTTACAACAAAATGAAGAAGAAGAAGCTGCTTACCTGGTCTGCTGGAGGCGAAGGCGCCCGGTTGCTGATCGTCTGCCTCTTTCTTGCTTTCCCTGCCTCTAGTTTTTTTTGCTTCTCTTGTTCTCCTTGTCTCTCTCAATGTCTGCGTGGTGCTGGAGCTTGTTGACGAAGACAATGGCGAAGGCGTGCTGACTGGCCAAAGCCAACTTCTCCCTCTACTCTTCTGGTTCTTGTTTTCTATATTTCCTGGCTTGCTTATGTCCTATTTGCATTTGTTTGCCTGGCTTGCTCTCTGATTTAAGAGACGGAGGTGCGATGGATTATCCAAAGCTCTGCTTCGGTTCCTCTTTATGCTCCTGTGTAGTCCTCTTGTTCTTCCTTGGACTTCTGTTTCCCTGTGCTTGCCGAGGGACAGACGAAGATGATGATATATAAAGGTGTGGTCCTGGCAAGAAATTTCCCTCCCCCCTCTGTTTCGTTCGTTCTCCCCCGTTTTTTTTCTTCAATCTCCTTTCTGTGATCTCTCTATTTTTTCCCTCTGTGTTTTTTTATTTCCTGTTTCCCAGTGTTCTTCCCCCCCGGTTTTTTTAGTTTTTGTGTTCTTGGTTTTTTTCCGTTTTTTCCTCATATTTCATTGCTCATCTCTGCCTTTTAAAAGGCCAGAGAGCTTCCACAACTGTTACACCCCACAAACGGGATTGTGGTCCATGATTTGCTGCAGATTTCCCTGTTATTTGCTGCAGATTTCCCCGTTGAATCGGTTTTCTCCGTGGGAAACGGAAGGGAACGCAGTCTTCCAGACGGCGCCGTTTGTGTTTTTGAGGCATGTTTTCACTTTGGTCCCTATACATTTTAAACTTCACAATTGAGATCCTAATCATTAATAATCAATTTCTAATTGTACCCTTGGATTAATTCAATTGAATCCTTGATTTATAGTGCCATTTACACAACAATCCTGGGTTTTTGGACTATTCAATTTCATCCTTGGACTTTAATTTTCTAGCAATTTTTCTTAAATCGGCTCCAAACTTTGGTATTTCTTCAATTACACTCCTGATTCCTTTAATTAATTAAATCAAAGTTTAATTAAATCCTCAAACTCATTAATTCCTCAATTTCTTTTAATTTGATTAATTAACTTAATCTCAAGTTCAATTAAGTCTCAAAATTTATTAATTCTCTAATTAAACTCTTAATTTAATTAATTAAATTAGTCAATAGTTTAATTAAATATTTAAACTTTTTAATCATGTTGCCAATAACCTAAATTTTAATTCATTCTTTATTTACTTTTTTTTTAATTATTTTTTCATTAATTTTTTAGTAAATAAAAAAATTAAAAATTAGGTTATGGTAGTCCTCAATATAAAAAAGATAAAGTATAGAAGAAATAGTTTAATTAAATATTTAAACTTTTTAATCATGTTGCCAATAACTCAAATTTTAATTTATTCTTTATTTACTTTTTTTTTTAATCATTTTTTCATTAATTTTTTAATAAATAAAAAAATCAAAAATTAGGTTATGACAGTTCTCAATATCAAAAAGATAAATTATAAAAAAACCTTAAAGGTGATTTTATCTCTCTCTTTTTTTTATTACATTTATTTCTCTTTTATACAGTAAATATTAATAATTATAACTTTAATATTAATAATTATAAAATTTTACCAAATTGTATAATGTTCAGGCAAAACTCGTTGATCATAAGGTCTGTAGCAGGCTCATGGGTGTTTTCAAAGCTCATGCCTTCTATAAAAGATAATGATGATGGCGATATGCTAATTTCATCTACTGGCCTGACAATCTGGTAATCACCTGAACTGCTGCTTGTCAGTTGCTAAGGATTTTAAGTTTGACTATTCGAATGTGAAAGTAGATGGTGCAAGTGTTGTTTTGTTCCTTGTATCTGGAAGCATCCCGTGGAATCTTCAAAGAATCCAACTTCATAACCTTCTGATGCACATCCCTTCTGGTTCCAATTGCCCCTTCTTGTCTTAAGTGGTTCGAATTGTGAAGAAGATTTGGGTCTTTCCTCCATCATAGTCAATGAATTGAGCCTTTTGGATATAGAGAAATCACAGATAAGTAGGTTTTCGATTGTTTTCCTTATTGAAGACAAAACAAGTGATGGATTTTCCAGTGACATGCGCAAGGACTCTGGTGGTTGGTAAGTGAATCACCCCTCCAACCTTATTTTCACTGCATAAAAACAGTGGACTTGGTTCTAACCCACTTAAATCCTTCCTTGGATGTCCTTGAAAGCATGAGGGATTATGAGGTTAGTCCAAACCATTGTATTTCAGCCTTCAATGAAGCCTTGGATTGGTCTCTTGGGGAAGCTGCTGCTGCTGCCAATTCCTGTCAATTGGCCTTGTCCTGAGATTTCCCTGCTGGAAAATTGCCAGTGGAGCTTTCTCTTCAGCCTCCATTTTAAGAAGTTATGATGTTGATCCAGCTTCAAGAATACCCATTGAGTTGCAGTATGAAGGGGGTGGATCTGCACCTTATCTAACAACCTACCCTTGATGAAGCAATTGATGCTGGCTGCAGCCCCTTTCTGTCAGGAAGGGATCAAGCACATGTGGAAGCTTTTCAGCCTCAACCAAGGACAATCTATCTCAAATGGTGATGTTCTTAACTACACTAACACGATTGCCCTGGTGGTTAAGCAAAGATATTGTGTTTGCTGGCAAAGTGACCAAAGACGCTGACGAATTAAACAAGTCGGTGGAGCAGTGTAACATAGTGCAAAACTCGACAAGTGAGAAGCTCTCCATTTAGTTCTGATATTAAGCAATAAATTTTGTATCTCTGCACATAACCTTGATGTTAAAGGGTGGGTCGGTCTTGCATCTCTAGTTCTGTACTATAACTGCGATGCATTTGTGAAAGGTAATACTACAGCATTGGCCTGGCACTGGGTCAGAAGTGAAGTAAATATTTTTTGAACACCGAAAAAAAGAAGAAGTTTTGGTACTGCTAATATATTTTTTTTAGAAGAAGTTTTGGTACTGCTAATATATTTAAAAAAAAAAACAAAAGATTTAAACTATGAATTTAAAATTCGTTGTATATTTAACAATATTTTTTTACTTAATATAAAAAAGAGGCCCTTGGGTTTGGCCAAAGGAAGAAAAGAGTGGAGGAAGACTTTCTTTACTTGAATGATTATTGATGAAGGGAGACATTGAGCTGCAGCTGGACAACTCTGACATCCAAGTTGCAGCTGAGTTTGAGAACAGAAATCGAAAGAATTTACGATATTTTTCTTCATATGATTAAGTGTAGGTATGTTAACTTTCCATTGCAACAAGATGTGGGTCATTTGGAGTTATGGAACTCCAAATGCGGGCGAAATACTAATGAGGGGTCAGGTTATGCATTCTAAAACTGAAATTGTTGGCTGGCATGTGAGTAAAATATTTCGAACCAGTGGAGCATGAAAGTTTGGATAAGTTTCTTCTTTGACGTTGTGCATATGGGTGTTAACGTTCATTAGAAATTGGCCGTACCTGATTCAAGTTCCTAAAACTCAAGTTACGAATAAAAAACAGAAGATAGGTCCTACTGTATATGATAGCTTATAATGACTAAATTGTAGCTGAAATTAGAAATAGATGAGAATGGAATTTTGAGTATACCTCTTCATGGCATTAGTACTAGAGATCTTAACTCTCATTTGAAGCAAACTTTGCATAAGCTGAACCTTTACAGCTCCAATTATGCATAAAAATCCATGGAAGGGTCAGACTGCCACCTAAAAGACAGATTTGTGAGAGTGTTGAGAATGAGCAAAATTAGATGTGTTAAGGGGTAATCTAACCTCCCTTTTCTTAATAACCAAGAAGGGACATGTTAATGTGTGAGAAAATAAAATTGCACTATATTTCCCAATTAAACAAGTTAAACGCAAAACAATGTGTAGTAGTAAAAGCACATTGATGAATGAATGGCAACTATTTGGGAGGAATCTCTAACCATGGATATTTTAAAAGAAATGGTCATGGGATTTTGGATGAGAAACACATGAATAAACTAATATATTTTAAATTTCTGGATACACATGAATGAACTAATATATTTTAAATTTCTGGATGAAAGAAATATGTCAATTAAGATTTGTGGTTCGATCCAAAGTTTATGATAAACAAACTTCGATCTCATTATAGTGCAGGAGAGAGCCCCGAGGTAGTCTAGCGTATCCACACTGGAACATCACATTATACTCCAAGTAGGTGACAACATTACTTAGATGTCTCTTATTAAGCTATGTAAATCTGATAATAAAATTATTTGAGTTGTTGTATTAATTGTCATAAAGATGAAACTTTTCATATGGATTTAATATTAGAATGAAGTGATTTTTGAATCATAGAATGAGACTGGCTTCCGAGAATGGAATACCAGATTTATAGCAACCAATAAAGTTGTTGATGGTGATTAATAAAATCACAAAATGAAATTGGCTTCCAAGAATGGAACATCGGATGTATAGCAATTGATTAAATTGCTAGAGGTGATCATTAAATCATGAAATGAAATTGGCTTTCGAGAATCGAACATTGGATGTATATCAATCGATTAAATTGCTAGAAGTGATTGTTGAATCACGAAATGAAATTGGCTTCTGAGAATGAAAAGTCAGATATAGCAATCAATTAAATTGCTAGAGATGATCATTGAATCACGAAATGAAATTAGCTTCCGAGAATAGAATGCCAAATGTATAGCAATCAATTAAATTGATAGAAGTGATTGTTGAATCACGAAATGAAATTGGCTTCCGAGAATGGAAAGTCGGATATAGCAATCGATTAAATTGCTGGAGGTGATCATTGAATCACGAAATGAAATTAGCTTCCGAGAATAGAATGCCAAATGTATAGCAATCAATTAAATTGATAGAAGTGCTTGTTCACTCACGAAATGAAATTGGCTTCTGAGAATGGAAAGTCGGATATAGCAATCGATTAAATTGCTGGAGGTGATTGTTGAATCACGAAATGAAATTAGCTTTCGAGAATAGAATGCCAAATGTATAGTAATCGATTAAATTGTTAAAAATGATTGTTGAATCATGAAATGAAACTGGCTTTCAAAAATGAGTAGAAGTGATTGTTGAATCACGAAATGAAACTGGCTTCAAGAATGAAATGTTGGATGTATAGCAATCGGTTAAATTGTTGGAAATGATTATAGAATCATAGATGAAATTGGCTTTCGAAGATGAAATGCAGGAATTATGAAAATTGATTTGGTTGCTAAAGGTGACTAAGGAAGAGATAGGCGTCTAAGAATGGAACGCCATATTGAAATATGAAAGTATTAAAATGCCTGTGTTACCTAACGAATCATGGAAATCTAACAAAAATAAAATAAAAAGAGAGATTGATGAACACACTAAATTTATTATCATAGAAAGAATCTTTTTATTGAAATATTCATGTTTATTTTAATATAATATATTTTATTGTATTATTTTTTCATTAACTGTAGGAACTTCCCATATCCGGTAGGCTCGTTTCTTTGTCTGTGTGACCTGTAAATATTAGGGAGACTTTTGTGTGTGTATAGACTTCCTTTTTTGACATGTAATTATAATGTAAACTTATGCAGTATTGCATAATATTACTGTTTGTAATTAGTCTAACTTAGACTCTTGGTTGGAGGATTATAATAGAAGTAGTAATAAATATCAAGTTTATTATTACATATCAAGTCTTCCTCATTTTGGTTAATGTTATATTTTCACTTCATGATTAAGTAATATATATTTGTTTGTAATACAAAAAAAATGATATTTGTTATTTAATATGATATAAATATTGTGGTTATAATAATAATGTTTGTGAATGGAGATTTAGGATGATGGAGTCATGAGTGAGTGAGTCATGAGATATGAGATATTTAAAGTATAAAAAAATTATATGTAGATAACTTAAGACCTCCAGTACATAGAAAACTTTACCAAAATTTTGGTTGAAATTTTGGTAGACTATGATATAAGAATTGTAAAAAAAAAACATTATACATATTTTTTGATACAAAATTGTAAGAAAGTAACTTTAAACATATATGAAAGTGTAGATCGTTACATAAAACCCCATTTTATCCTAAAAATATTTTATAAACACCTTTAAAACATCTAAAAACTAATTTATTAATATATGAAACCCAAAAAATCCAAAAACACAAAATCAAACCAGATAAAATTTTGTTTTCTTAACTATGATTTGTTTTTTCAGATGATATAGAGGTTCTAAACAACCATCGTTAAATTTTTCTCATCAAATGGAATCAGTGGATATTTAGATCAATTATTTTAGTGGTTGAAATTGATATTAATGACGATTTTCTCTCTACGAGTCTAAATCCGACAAAGCTCTCTCTTCTCTCACAAACTAAGGGTTGAAAAAAAAAAATGAAGTTTTGTATCAAAATTTAATTTTAAAGAACTTAAAGGATTGAAAAGGTATAATTTGAAAAATTAAAGGATTAAATTGAACTTTCCATCACAATTTCGAACCACCACCTATTTTCAACACTTTTCATTTTGCCCCTGGTTGGAAAATAGAAAGCAATTGTCCTTTTCTGTTGAAGAACTGAGTCGGGGAGAAAAAACCTTTGAGAATGAAAATGACAAAAATAGAAAAACATCACTCTCCAGTGCATCGTAATTTATAAGAAAGTCAACAATACACATGTATAAAGTGTTTTCACCCCATGGTTTAGTGTTCTTTATTATAATATATAATTTGAGCTTGTTCTTAACAGACCCAAGGCTTGACAATTTTTCAGGTTCCTTTCATTTTCCTTCATGAAAAATGACAATATTTAACTAACAGACCCAAGGCTTGACAATTTTTCAGCATCCTTTCATTTTCCTTCATAAAAAATGACAATATTTAACAGACCCAAGGCTTGACAATATTTAATGAAAATTTATTTTTTTAAAAAAATATTTTTCTATATTTTAGTATTTTTTTAATTTGTTGGTATTAAAAATAATTTTTAAAAAATAAAAAAAATATTAAAACAAAAAAACACTCTTAAAACACTAATAAGAAAATCTTTTGCGCTAACTGGGGCTGTTGTTCCTGGGTTGCCTGGCACCTTCAAATGGCAAAGATTTTTTCTTTTTCTTTTTCTTCCCCTACTGTACTGTGATTTGTGAGCTCTGTGGTGAACTTGTCACCAAGTAATGGGTTGCCGCTCACTAACTCCGCTGAAATGAATTGCCTGCATCAATCCAATCTTTCTCCAAGAGGTGGGGGCATGCGACTTGAAACCTCTGTCACTTACTAAAGAAACAAGAACACAAGGACGAGAAAGTCACATCCTGTGGAAAACAACCCCGTGTCTCGGGCATTAGTTGGATCAGACAGCTAACCCAATACCATTGCAGGAACTTAGACGTCCAGAGACAACATCAAATCTTTGAAGTAATTGAACAAAAAAATATTAAAACAAAAAAACACTCTTAAAACACTAATAAGAAAATCTTTTGCGCTAACTGGGGCTGTTGTTCCTGGGTTGCCTAGGACCTTCAAATGGCAAAGATTTTTTCTTTTTCTTTTTCTTCCCCTACTGTACTGTGATTTGTGAGCTCTGTGGTGAACTTGTCACCAAGTAATGGGTTGCCGCTCACTAACTCCGCTGAAATGAATTGCCTGCATCAATCCAATCTTTCTCCAAGAGGTGGGGGCATGCGACTTGAAACCTTGGTCACTTACTAAAGAAACAAGAACACAAGGACGAGAAAGTCGCATCCTGTGGAAAACAACCCCATTCTCGGGCATTGGTTGGATCAGACAGCTAACCCAATATCATTGCAGGAACTTGGACGTCCAGAGACAACATCAAATCTTTGAAGTAATTGAACAAAGCCTATAGATTTCACTGGACCTGTTTATTGTTTGTCAGCGGATACCAAGCATGGTAGCTGCAATAACAATATTAGATATCATGTAGGATATGCATTATTTATACATTTACTTTGTATCTTTACATGCCTACTCTTCAGAGATATCAGGAAGATCTAGGATTACAACTGAGGCGTTGAGCTTCCAAGCAGAAACCTGATGAAAAATTTTCTTTCTTGATACATCATAAAGAAAAAGGAATCTTCATGGAATTCATGATTATCAGCCTGAACATCCCGGAATCTCTCCGAAGTTTGATTTCCAACTCACCTTAAGTTTAGATTAGAAGGGGAAGAGTTGCAGCAAAAAGGGGAGCATTTTTCTCACCAAGTCACGTGTAGTTAGTCACCATGTTTTAGTTGACATATTGGTAAAGAGCTTGCAGCCTGGAGATCCTTGAGCGTGCAGACCAAATTGCCTTCCGTATTAGCAAAGGGTGCCACTAACCCCCATCCTGATACAAGCCGAAAAAAAGATCACTGAGACTTCAAGGAATAGATTCCTTGGAACCAAATTTGAGGCAAATGAGGAACAGGCAGCATCAAATGTATTAAACAAGTGAAACTACATGGAAATAAAATGAATGTGAAGCAGCTTTCTAGAGGTAATTTGATAGGATTACTATAGTAAACAACAAGGGAACATCACCCAGTCAATAATATAGTTGTAGCTCAATTGCACAAGACATATAGACCCACCAGCTCCAAGGGCTTCTAGTGAGATGGAGATGGAACAACAACAGCTGGGCTTCGACTCATGGAAAGTTGCAGATCTGTGAATTCGCTTCTTATTGCAAGGTAAATTTCTGATCCAGAGGTGATGGCCCCCTAATCAAACTTACATTAGACAAGCCCTTAATGTGAACAATAATGATTGTAATATCATCTGTCCTGCTTTCATGTTCCAACCATATTTTGTATGACTCCCCAGCAATGGCAGCACAAGCATCTCGGGGATCTGTGCATCTTGCCACCTATCAATAGAAAGAGACATTAAAATATCTAGGGACAGAAACAGCAGGAATGAGAGTAAAAAAACAGAGATAAAAAGTCTACAACCAACTTGACTAGAATTTCATCACGGAAGAAAGTGATAATCAATTCAAAATTCCAATGGAATCCATATTTTTTTTTTCCCTCTGTTTTTTCCTTGGCTAGAATTATTTGTTACATGATTTCAGAGGACATATATTACCCCCAGTGGCATGCAATGTTTTTGCTATTTCAACGAAGAACATCATTAAGTTATGTTCCTTACAATAGAATTTTAAATGGCAATTAATTAAATTTTGGTTGCTTGTTTTAAAAATGCAAAAGCATAGCAATAGCCATGTTTTACCTTAACAAGATATCATTTCTAGCACACCGAATTTAATTCCAAAAAAAAAAAACAGCATTTTAAGAATGAAAATTTTATTAGAACATGCAACTAATATCCACATGCACCCTTTTCATTTCAAGAAGTTATTAAATAAATGCAGTAATTGTTAAATCAGATCAAATGTCTGACTATGGCTCAATATAATTGATTTGCGGTTTCTAGAGGAAAAGCAAATTTTAGTACACTAAATTCGCCAGCGAGCAGCTCAGAAATGTTACAGGTAATTCTTCTATTGCAGCACTTGATGGTGTAGTTCGATGAACTAGGCCAATGAACCCCTATTTGGCACTGCAGTGCAAAGGCAACACCAAACACGTCTACAGACAGTACAGAGAAAAGAAATTATGAAGAAAAACTATTTTCACAATTATGTATTCAATAAAATTTGATGCCAATCAAGAAAGAAGGTAATTTCCTTTAGTCTATTTTGATCGGTTTCTATGGTAAGCAGGCACTCTTTCCTCATTCAAATGAGAAAGTCTGGATGCAGATCAAACTCAATGATTGATACTGACTTAAATATCTGTACAACTCCGTGTAAATTCCACTCCTTCATTTCCATGAAATTATAAACTTTAATGAAAAGGAAAAAAAACTATCAATTATAACTGGACAACCAAAAGCAGCAAGCAATCAGAGGCTTAACTATATGAAGGCAGTCGAAGGCAACCACTAAATCATAAATGCAACGCATAGAAAAGAAAAATACAGAAGGGTCATAATGCCATACCATATCCACAACAGTCTGGCTTGAGAGGAACTCAAAAACTCCATCACTTGCAACAACAAAGAACAAATGATCAGGAGTAAGGCGAACCATAGACACCTCAGGAACAGAAATGACACCGATTGTCTCAGCTGTACCATCCCCTACACTCCTCGAAAATGCTGTTCCTGGATACATCCCGTTTTGCACCCACAATCTTGGAGGATCACCCCCGTGACTTTCCTCATTACCCCACACCTGTATATCCGGATCCTTAAGCCCTTCGACTTGATCAACAGTCAGAATCCTAGCCCCAGAAAGCTTAACTCTCTCATACTCATCTTTCCTAAATGGTGTTTGATCTCTAGACAAATCCTCTGCTACAATCCTATTCCCATTTTTAACAGCAATAACTGCTCTCGAATCGCCTACATTAGCAACATAAATTGTATCTCCAATCACAAGAACTGTTATCGCTGTTGTACCACTCATTGAATCATCAATCTCACTACTATGTAACTCATAGTTTGTCATTAAGAATGCTGAATTATAAGCTTTAACAGGGTCATCCAACAACGTGGGATCATATGCTAATATTTCAACTAACCTATCCTTAACAAACTGGGAACATTCAGTACCAAAATGACCGTGGCCATCAAACACACCAAAGAAATGTACATTCGGGTTACCTTGAACTTGTGTTCTAATGCAGAAACTATCCTGGTTTTCCTTATCAGGCGAGCCAGGATAGTAACCTCTCTGTGTTAAGACAGAGTACTGCAATTCATAGTTACGGGAAGGGACAGGAACAATCTCTAGTGAACTTCGTGTAAGTATATGCTTGCTGGTGGCATTCATATGTGAACCCATTTCACCGTAGTCCCCTGAATTACTCTCTGTTGACGATGGGTACCTGCTACAATACTTGCCATGAACACAACCCATATTACAAACGTATAACCAAATAGCTGGAAAGAACAATTTTTGAGCCGCACGCTTAGTGTTTGCAAGAAAATCCAAAGAAGAAGAAAAAAGGGGGGCCTACAAATTGCAGGGATGCAATTTCTGGTGGAAATAGCGAGATGGGTATCTTATAAATTCAACAACGAAGCACTGTAACAGATAATTTTGTGGGAAAGCCATGTTCTTGACAAAGGAAATTCAGAAACAAACCCTAAAAGGCAAAAGCTAAGAAAATGTCTCCAAAAACCGCTCGGTGTTTAAAGAGGAAATTATATTCTCAAAATGACGATGAATGATTTGAATCTGGTTTATACCCAAGAAAACGTTTTACAAGAGAATTAGAATAAACCTCCAAGGCAGAAGCAAAAGTTGAAAACTTTTTTCAGTCTATCAATGATCACACGATGACGGTGGATGGTTTCCAAAAAAGAACGAGAAATGCAGCTGTTTAGGGACGCACAAGATCGCTGCTCATTAAGATGAAAGAACCAAAGCAAGTAAGGTGCTCGTACTAATGTTGAAGACACAGGAAAATTAAATATAAAAAACATGAGAAAGAGCAGGAAGAGGACAATGAAGCGTCGATGATGACGCAAACGAGAGAGAGGTTGTGTGCATGGATGGGTTTTCTTTTTGTGCTCAGACAAAAGTCCATCTTCCAAGAAAACAAACAACTCTACACAGACAGTAAAGTGATAAAAACAAAGTTACATGTTTTTCCCTTTTTTTTAATGAATCCCAGATGAGTGTTTTGGATTATCGAGATCCAAGAGGGATTATTGAGGTAATCTATTTGAGATTTTTTGCCATTAGAATAAGGATAATTAAATTTAACTAATCACACCCTTGAACATTGCCATTACCACTCCATAATTAAATTTAACTCATGTATGATTGATATTATGATAATTTTTTTAGGTTATCGTTTAAAAAAACAAGTTTAAGAAAAAATATATATTATAATTCTTTAACCAAAATTCAGGAGAGAATTTTCAAAAACCAATACAAATATACGGTGGTGAATAAGATTTAATCAAATCCAATTAATATAATTCCAGTGACTGCTAATTAGATTTGTATTTGAAAGGCTAGAAATATATTAGGAGGTAATGCCTATTTTATAGTTAAAATATGTCAAGAATGAAATTTAAGAACTTGTATTTGAGTTTTATTTTTCTGGGATTTCAAGGGTATTTTCAACGTGTATCAAGATTATTTTATTTTTAAATAATTTTTAAATTAAATTCCTCAAAACAAGCCAATAAATTTAAGAAAACAGATTATTTCAATACTGATTCTAAAATTTAGATTTATAAAATGTAAGAAATAAAACATATCCCTATCATTGCACCTCTCTTTCTTGAATTCAATAACTGAGTGAGAAAAGATAAGGAAGAAAAAAAAAAAAACTAACCAGTAAAAACTTCCAATTGAGTAAGGCTTTCTTGATATATTTCACCATGAGGACAGAAGTCACTGTGATTGTAAGGAAATTGTAAAGAGTGATGGAGTTGTAAATATGGCAAGTTGAAGTTCGCATTGATTGCCTAAAGATTACGTCTCCAGAGATTTCGCTGTTTCTTTGGATCTTAAGCATATGGCTTTTACCGTTAATTAACTATCCTGACATTATTTTTTAGATGACTTTAATGATTAGTTTTCACGTTATTAATTACTTTCCCTGCACTTGTCTTTATATTTTTACAATTCAACTCTCACAGGTTTTCTATTGTCTTGTTTTTATGCGTTGAATTTTCTTTATATATATATATATATATGTATATATAATTGTCAAAGAAAATTTCAATATTAAATTAAAAGTTGATGATGCAAAGTAAAACTTTAGTCTATAATTTTTTTTTAAAAAATCAAATTTAACACATAAAAAGCACAATAATTTTTCATTTTATCCCTTATATATTGTAAAATCTCATGTCAGGAGCCAAGAGAAAAGGTAATATATAATGTGTATTTGGCTTTGCAATAGTTTTTATAGTTACAATTTGAAAAAAAAAGTTTTAATAAAAACTATATATTATAGCTTTTTTCTATATTACTATTTCAAAAGAGAGTTTCCAATGAAATTAATATAAAATTATAGTAAATATTAATTAATCAAATATTAATCGAGTGCAACAGGTAACTGCTTTATTTTTGCTACTATTAATATTCAACTATCATGGCAAGTAATTGAATATTCAATCAGTTTAGCATTTCTTGTTTGCACGCCAGCCTATTTTGGATGCATCTTTTTTCATTTTCTTTTTTTCCATTCAGAAGAAACCAGGATAACTCATCAAGTGGGAATCTCTGAACATTAAGCAAGAACAAAACAATAGTTCTACCAATTGGGTGATGATGAAGAAGAAAGAGCTAGGAAAGTTATAAAACGAGAGGCGGCCTTTACTTTCTTGGAGGTCAAAGTCTGAGATGATGCCCTAGGTTGCTTGCTTATACTTCTAATTTGTCCTTAATCTGTTTGAAAGTTCCTGTATTGTGTGCGAAGATAAAGATAGAAAACGCACTACCAAGAAAACTACTCTTCATCGGCAAGAGAAGCTTGGCAGAAGGTGCAAGGTAGGGATGTTTCGAGAGTGTTTCCAGGCAACATTCCTTCCTAAAGTGCTTTTGCATAAAGGTTGAATTGGCAACAAAATTCTAGATGATATGCATGTGGGCACCCAAATGAAATGACCCTTTCTAGATCTCTTCATCAACTTTATTGTTGCTGTGTGGTCAGAATATAGTTATTGCAAGAAAAACTTTTAGTTAATACTATGTGTAGCTATTTGTTTTTGGTTATATTTAACATTGATTTTATTTGTGTAAAATATATTTATTATCAATAAAATCTTTTTATATTTAATACTTATATATATATATATATTTGATTAATAAATCTAAAAAAAATAAAATTTATGAGATAAAGATATTTTACAAATGAAATTATAAAATTTTTATAATTATAAGATTCATGTTGTATCATTATTCTTAAATGCTATTAGTTAATGATTTAATAAAGCAAACATACTTCATATTGTAATATTTAAACAAAAATATTCTTAATAAATGAATAATAAATATATTAAAAGGTTAAGTCAAGCCACTTACAATAATTTTTTTAAAATTTAGGGAATCATGATAGGTAACCAAACATTATACTTGATTTTCAAATATAAAATAATTAATTATTGAATTGATAATAAATTAGATTGTTTAATTTATTTAATCATATTTTATGTATGGTTATGATTTATATTTTGGCTAAATTATTAGAAAACATAATGAGTCACACACATGAGAATTATTGGTTATGAATTAAAATGAGATAATTAATCAAGTGTAACTTGATTGTAAATAAATTTTTAAAATTATAAGGACTATAATATAATTAATAGGTTAATACAATTCTAAGACTTAGAAAAAAATCAAGTAGGGAATTGATTGATTAAATTTCTAAAATTATCATAAAATAATATGTGATATCATTTAAGGGGCAAATTGATATTTTATCATTTATAAAGCTTTCAAATTATAGGAGTTTTTCTATAAATAAAATGAAATGCCTTTTATTTTTACAACTGAAAAAAACTATGTTAGTTACAGAAATTTCTCATAAGGCATAAAAAAAAAAAAGAGTTAGCACTCAAAGAAATAGTAATTCTTCTCTCTCAAAAGGATTTAGGAGATTTTTCACTATTAATTTGTGTGGATTGATGTTAAAAAACAGACACTTAAATGATTTGTTATTCATAACAATCTAATCTTAAAGCAATTATTCAAAATAAAAAAATAATAATCTTCAGATAATATTCGTTTGAAACCTAAATAACTATAAATTTATTTAATAAAATCCTTAGAATATCTAAAAAATTTTAAATTTATTGTTCTCACTATAAATGTATCTTTCATAAAATCTAACAAAAATAACCTTAAAAAAAGAGAAATAAAATGAACTACCAACCATCAAACTAATTGTGAAGGAGCTTCTGGTGTTCGTCTGAGCCTCCATGTTCATATTGTGCATATGTGTGCAAGGATTCACATACGATGATGGATATCACCTTCAATTTAACAGCTTGAAATAATATGTTCGCTTCATCTTATATATAAGCACTTCAGTTTTTTCTTTTCATTTTCAATATAGGATATCTACCACTCAAACCCATTCAATCACAATTATCAACTCCTCTTTCAACAGAAGTATCTAACAATTCGATTTTCATATCTGAAGCTTGGAGTTTAGTGTTTTTGCTCGACTGTAAGGAAGCAAACAAAGGAAGGAGTTCTATTTGTTTTATAGAGATAGTCGTGTTTCTGCGTTTATACACATTAGCCTACATGTATAGGAACTTATATGTAACAATGGACACCACCTCCGATCCATAAAAACTAGACTAATGAATTATGCTTCTATCTTATTTATATGCATCTTTTTTTTTTTTATTTTTTTGATATAAAATACTTATCACTCATATATGCATGCGCGCTCGCAAACACATATACGTATATTTTAAGGTCCCACCAACAAGCAGTGGCGCTGAGTATTTTTGCGTCTGTCGTCTTTAGTGTACTGGGCCTTGCTTTTGTTTCTTTTTTATCAACATTCAATCATCGAAGAAAGAATCAAACATGCTGATAAGAAGCCCGGTCTGCTTTTTAAAGAGAACACAAAGGCCTCGAAATAGAATCGTTCAAGAGTCACCAGTGACCCTAAAGTTGTCGACTCTTAAAGCGTAAAACAGTATATCCTCCATTCCCTTGGGAACTAGGCTGTTCATGGAAGCCAACCCCCATTCATTATCTTAACCGACCGAGTTTCATTCTATATTATTTTGGATATTGATACAATGAGTTGACCCGGTTCTGGTTATTTTTTAACGAGACTTGACATGATCGACTTTATGAAATTATTTTAAAAAAATCTTCCAGCGATAATGTTTTGAATAAAATAATTCGACAACATACGAGTTGAGTATACGATGTAATAAACTGGATCATAAATGGAATGAGACTCAAATCGTATTGCAACTTTGGTATACACTATGCATGCATGTAAATGTAAGTGCACATGCATTAAATAGAAATCTTGAACGGGCAGTAATAGAGAGCTATGGCGAGCTAGTAATTTCTCGATAACCTCAAACTAGGAATGACCAAAATCATCTTGATGAGTAAAAATGCCATGTAAAGGGCATGCTGGCATGGTCATGAGGTGAGGCATGGATGTAATATTGCGATATAGATTGCAGTAATATACATGCTTTAAGCTGGCACATGCGATCTCCATACTTGATTTCTGCGGCAAATGATTCTTGGCCAAGTCAGTAAAAGTGAGGGTGAACAACACACATTAATCGATCTGGCCACTCATGTTCACGTGTAGATTCTGTGTATGGTAATGCGACAAAGCTGTTAGATTGCATCATATCTCAGTGTGGTGACTTCCACGCCAGATGCAACTCAACTATCATCGTAAACAAAGCGCATTAATTTACACTTCCATGTAAAATGCTCTAACCCCATGCAAATCATCCAGACTATATGATGATTCAGTGCTTAATTCCCTTCGTCTTTGTTTCTGTATTTTATTGTGGCGCCTCCAGTATTTTTCGCTAAATTCATGGTTTTAGGAATATTTGGTTAATCCGTATACGTACATCGTAATCGATCTTGGTATGTACTGAATTAATTAAACAATATAAATAATTGATCGTGCA